GCTAAGAGCCATCTTAATGTTTTTAGAACACCACATTTCCTGCCTCAAGCTGTTCCATGAGTGCTTGTCCCTGCCTGAGGCTCTTGTATATCCTATAATGTCACTTTGACACCTTGGGGAGTCATCACACACCACTGTGGGGAAAGTAGACTGGCTTTCTTAGACTTACCACAATGTGTGGTTATATAGTAGTCAGTCAATAAATATTTGAAAGAATGAATACTACTACTTGAACCAGCTCAGAGAATATCTTGTTTCCGGGCATAAGGACGTGGAGTTGAGAGTCAAGGTGTTGCTATGCATCATCGTCTGTTATCTCCTCCCTTTGCAAGACTTGTGTTTTTTTGCAGATCCTGTTTTCTGGGCTTCAAGTAAATACTGGTGGTCAGCTCTCAGCCCCATATCTGCAGTTGGTACTATGATTAATAAACCAAAGTACAATAGATAATAAAGTGTGTACTGGCATCCTAGCTGCCTTTCTGGGACATACAGTTGGAACGAGGCTCGTTTTACCTCTGAGGCCAAAAGTAGTAGGAAGGAGAGATTGGAGGAAGGCGCAGAATAAGAGAGAAAGCCTATAGGTCAGCTTTCTCCAGTTGCCATCGCCAAAGACACATGCTGGTGTAGTCATTGAAGAAGGCATCAAGAAGAGAAAGCAGGCAGTTTAAGAACGGTTTATCTTGGCCAGAAGCAACCGTGTCAAGATCTTCCCTAGGGCATTAATACTCAGAAACCTAAAAAATTTTCACTACCTCTTGTTGCTGCACTGCTAATCTGGGACTATTTGCTAAATTCCCCAAACCCCAAATCTTTTGATGAACTCAGTCTCCAGCTGGTATTACCAGCTTTTACAGAAAGAAGTTATGGCAAGTATAATAGGCTGCTTCTATCTGACTGCCTCTTACCTTACCTGTTCCTTTACCTTGTCCAACACCGAGTCTCCATCAGGTTACGTCCTGAATGAGGTCATTTGCTCTGCATACACTGTGAGATTATGTCGTATACTAATACATTTTCTGCTTTCTGAGCCATGCTTGAGAGGACAGCCTCCTCAGGCGTGGAAAGAATTTGCCATTTAACAGAGGAGGACCTTTATGGCTTGTCACAACTTTCAATCATAGCTCTAGTTTTTGACTCTTTAACAGTGGCACAGGAGGCCAGAAACATTTTGCATAACCATTTAGCACAGCCCAGCCATACTAATACGCATCTTCTTAAAAGGAAGTCTTGAAAAGAAAGAATGCTGGCTGTAGGTGTTAACAATATCTGCATTAATATAATTAACATAAGTGAAACCCATAATATTTTAGTTTTAGTTTTGCTCCAAAATTACCTTTCAACCATCATTTTCCTTTATAAATAATGTGTAGCAACATTACTGTTTTGGCTCTTTATTTTTTATTTAAAAAACTTTTTTTTGGAAGCACGCATACACACACACACACACACACACACACACACGCACTGCATATCTAGAGGTCCATAGGACAAAAATGAATGGCCGAGTTTTCAAAATTGTGTGAACCTGTGAGACCTCATATTGAAAAGCCTAGCAAATGGCAAGCTGGCTAATTAAAACAAATGTACAAGAGAATGATTGTAGTACAATGACAGTATGTCCAAAATAAACAGAAAATCTTAAAAAGTTGAGAGAAAAAACAGATTTCCTAAAAAGGAGAAACTATCCAGTTGACAGTACGTTTATTAGCAGGGTCAGGGGTTAGGTGTTGTAGTCCTAGGGCAGGGGAGCCACCCTTCCGGTGCAGTCTGTCGCCCTCTGCAGGTCCTTGTCCTCTCTCAGCACATGGGTGTCTCAGGGCCATGGGAGGTGAGCTACCACCGGCCTCAGAAGTTGCTCTACTTTGAGGTAAGTTTTCTTTTCAGTGGGGGAATGACTCCCTTTTGTGTGTGTGTACTGTTGTGATATTCTCACATTTGACTGAATAAGATCACAGTCTCTTATTTTTATTTTAAAAACAAACACCTTTGTAGAGCTTAAATTACATAATGAGAACAGATAAATTTTTTTGAGATGGGACCTTTATGGAAAAGGCTGAACATTGGAGGATGATTCAGTGGGTTCTCAGGCCAACCAACCTCCCTTCCCTGGTCATTTCAATTCTATTAGGGCAATTATAGATTATAACTCAAAATATCTGAAAACCCAGTTAAAGAGATAAGAAATTCATTTTTACTGTTTTGTACTCTAAATTGTAAATGAGATGCAAGATTGTCTAATAGGTTTAGAGTTTAAAATTGAAATTTTCTATGTTATTATATATCTATAACCATGAAGGTGAGTTTAGAAAGTTTTGAAAATAGTGATTTTTAAAAATTCTTTTTTGTCATATTGAAGTTATGATTTTTTAAAAAATGGACCCTGGCCACTTTGTGTCTCTGAATGCCCCTTCCTTTCCCTATTTTTAGAACGAGGCAGAGGGTTTTATTGAGTCTGAGCAGAGAAGATAAGTATAGTGTGTTGGGCAGGGCACTGAAGGAGAACACAGCTCCTGCTGTTCTTCCCGAGAGATGGGAAGCCAAGCGTCCAACCCACACTTTTCTCAGGTGTCAGGCAGACATACTGGATGGAAAGAATAGCTCTGTCGAGGGAAGGATTGTGTATGTGTGTGCACGTGTGTGTGTGCACACATTTAATTTGCATAATGGGGGCTTGTTTGGCCAGCAGTGTCCTTTGATCGGCAGATGGGAACAAGAGGCAGCTCTGTTCTGTCTGCTGAAGGTTCTGATCATCGTTTTTCAAATGTTCCTCCCTCACGGCCCGTCCCTTTCCTGGGAGCCAGTGAGTTTCCCATAGCTCTGAGCCAATGAAAATGCCACATCCCCATGTTGCTTGTGGTGCTGCAAGGCCTCTTTCCCTTGTAAATTGCTGCTGCTGTAGGGGAAGTGTGTTGGTTCTGATTCTGAATTTCATCTGTAGGTTACTGAACGTCAGATTCTCAACCCCGTGACTACCATACCTCAGCAAGCACTCCAAGCTGAAGCTCTAAGGATCTTAATTTACCTCTTGGTGTTCTTGATGAAACAGTCCTGGCATAGTCGAATCATTCATTCAGCACACTTGAGTGTCTGTCATGTGCCAGACACTCCTGGGTGTTTGGAGTACACGTATGAAAACTGCCAAAATCACCGTGTCTTGGAGTTTACACCAGAACCTTAATTCTCACCTGCTCCTCCTCTTCCGGAGAGGGGATCATTCCCCACAAGCTGTAAAAATTTATTCATTTACTTAGCTTTTTCGGTGTGCTTTTTTTGAGCTACTAAGTTGCTTAACATGTGAATGAGACACATGACTGCCCTAGGAGAGTTTGTGTGTGTAAGAGGCAGACAGATAGACAGGCAAACATGTAAAACCTCCTGCTTCCCAGCAGGCTGGATAGGAGAGGTAGAAGCAGTGGCTCTGAGGGAAGAGAGTAGAAGGAAAGAGGCACTCTTACAGGGGCGTGCTTTTTATGACAGAGGGACTGTTAAACGTAGTCTCAAGGTCACTTCTGCTTGCTTGGGGTACATGGAAATGTAGCCATGATGGGGTCTGAGGGAAGAGGTGGGTGAGGCCAGGCGGTGGGTGAGGCCAGGCAGTGGCAGGCCATGAGTATGTGATAGGTACTCTGCAAGCAAGGCAGAGGGTGGTGTGACATGATCCTCGGTCTCAGGATAACTGAAGATTGGAATGCACTGGGGAGCAGAAGCTGGGCGGCAGGAATTCAGCTGAGTGATTGTCTTTCATTTATTCATTTAGTCATTCAGCATATATTTATGAAGGGCTTGCCTTGTAGCCAGTGCTGGGATTTTCCAAATAGTTCAGGCAGGAACCTGTGAGGGCTGGAAATGTAGCTGTGGTGGACAAGAATGGAAAGGCTGGGATGGATGTGAGAAGCGTTAGACCAGGGGTGGGATCAGGCAACTGATATGGCAGTGAGACCTAAGAAAAGGCCAGTTTAAGGCACACAAGGGAGTGTGTGTGTGTGTGTGTGTGTGTGTGTGTGTGTGTGTGTGTGTGTGTGTACTCTTCTTACTGGCAGTTGAGGTCAGGTACTTGGACAACAGCTCACTCTGTAGGACCCATTTTTTGTGGTAAAGTTCAGGGATTGTCATGAGAATCCCTAGTAATTTGTTAAACTTAGGCTGGGAGATTGTTCAGCCAGTGAATCCCATACTACACTTGTCCTTGCACAGCAAGTTGGAAGTAACAGGTCCTTTAGGTCGTAGCCACTTTGGTAGAAATGTACATTTGAAAATGAATTACATGCGTGATTACCGATCTTAGATGCTAGTTCAAGAAGAATGGCACCTATTCATGTCCTTAACTTAATTTTCAAATTTCAGGTTTCTTTTTTGCTGAGTGACCAAAACATACATATGAACACAAGTTGGGGGGTACATATAGGCATCTCAGTCTCTTTTGCTAAGTGTTGGTTGCTTTCTGCTTTACTGGTCAGTGGTATATAAAAATGCAGCAGTTTGCGCTGCTGTGTATCCAGATAGACCATTCTCCCAATAGTTGGATAATTCCAAATTTAATTCTGAACTGAGAGAACTGATTTCATTGATATTTTTGAAAAGAAGAACTGGGAAAAAAACTGGAAATAATATAATAGCTTGTCTTTAAAAAATGCTTTTGTGGGCTGGGGATTTAGCTCAGTGGTTTTGCCGCCTGCTGTGCAAGCGCAAGGACCCAAGTTCGATCCTCGGTACCAAAACCAAAAAAATGCTTGTGTTCCCTTGGAGGAGCCAGCCCATTTCTCTTGGTCAAGGAAGTGTGTTGCATTTTAAACATGTGGTGGTTGTTATTCATTGCCCTTTTTTTTTTAAGGTAGGAAATGTTCTTTGGACTGAGTTAAATTCTGCTCAGCATAAAAGATGCGATGTGGAACAAAGCCTGCAGACTGTGACTAATTGACATGCACTGGGCTAATGAGAAGACAGAATGTCTCTAATCAGCAGCAGAACAAACACTCACAAAGGGTCTCCTTCCCTCCTAGGACCTCCTTCGCAGGGCATCTGGCTGGAATCCTTGTTGGACTCATGTACACTCATGGGCCTCTGAAGAAAATCATGGAAACATGTGCAGGTATACAACAAAATGCCTTTGGCATGACAAGTTAGAAGTTCATCTTAATTTTAATGTCAACAGAAGCAACTCCAAGTGTCTTATGGTTCAGCGTAGGAATCTCCCAGTATGCTCATTTTCCTTTTTGGACCAGGAGATAAAACAGCTAGTACAGTCCTCACATAGCTCCATAGGGAAAACATAAACCCAAATTTCAGATCTGAGGCTTTCTTAAGAAACAAGTATTGGTGGATTCTTACCCTCAGCCTTAAAGCTACTCACAGAAAACTGCAATTTCCTCAAAACTGCAGAGAACTGTAGTGGGTTTAAAATAATGCATTTTCTATAATAGTACGTGAATTAACATATTTGTAAGTCAAAGTTTAAAAAGAAAACCCAATCAAGACTGAAGTACAAAGCCAGCATTTTAGAGAATCCAGAATGACCACCAGGTCCTTGGTAGGCAAGACATATGAGGTGTTATGGAAAACATGGTGAATGTTTAAATTTTAATTTCTTACAGTAAAAACCACATTGCCATAATCCTCCTCAATATACTCCCACTCTCTATGAACACACTTAGTGTTTTTTACTTTCTGGAGGAATTCTGGTCCACCTCTTTTGTGAGTGCCCTTAGTTGTGCTGTCATGGCTGCCTCGATGTCCTTAATTTATTCAGACATTTACCTTTCATGGTCATTTTGACTTTGGGGAAGAGCCAGAAGTTGCATGGTGCCAAATCTAGTAAATAAGGTGGATAAGGACACACATCATGATTTTAACAAGCCTGTCTTTCTATTGGATGGCAAGGAGCAGGAGACTTCCAGAACTACTTGAGAAAGTGACAGGAACAATGGGATAAGTGTGTTTGAGCGAGGGGGAGTATTTTGGGGAGATTAATGGTGGTTTATCTTACTGTAATAAATTTATTTAAATTTGAACACTGTATTTTGACCACTCCTTGTCTTCATACTGACACATTCATATTATCACTTGAAGGTTGGCTTCTGCTTTTTTTCTGTAAATTGATGCTCAATGAAAATAGTTATTTAGAAATAAATGCATATAGACCTCTTAATTTAAAATGTTCTACCAGTTTAAAGGAAACTATTTCACAAACACTTGTTTTATAGACCCTGTGAGTTCCAATATTTCATCTTTTATTCATGGAAAATCTTCTGAGACTATCTTACCTTTTCTTGAACCATAAATAATTTGTTTTCACAGTTTGTGCTGATGATTGGTATTCTTGAAAACCATATAATATTCATGATATGAGAAAGCTTTCTCGGCACTGCTTTGTCACCCTTATTAGTAGGTTGTGCTCATTTTGGGATGATTTTTACAGCCTGCACCACATGGAAGGAGATTCCCGTTTTCCTGCTTTTGCCCACTGCTGTGTTTTCTCGTGCACACTTTGAGGAAGTGGCAAGAGCTTCATTTAATGAAATTGCTCCATTTTATTATATTGTCGATGTAGTTTGATTATGGAAATCTAGTAATGAGTACTGATCACAGAGAAGAAATGTTCTCTAGTGTTCATCATTTTCATTTCATTTTTCTATGTGTCTTGAGATCAAATGGTTATTAAAGCTTTCTGCAGACATAGTACAGCATTTAGGCAAGTGCTTAGTTTCCTTTCTAAAGAGGATTTTCCCCACAATTATAACATCTAAAATTGTAGTTGTGTTCCTTAAAATCTCACCTGTTTTTTTGTGAAGACATTTTTAATACATCATTCTTTTTTCAAAGAAACACAGTAGGAAGTTAAATATGCAAAATTGAACCACCCATTCAGTGCCATTTGCAAACAGCCTGCAGGCTCTGCCTGCTTCCTGGTAAAGCTAGGGAAAAGATCTGGAGTGAGCTGAGAATTGAAGTGGCACAAGAACCTCCTGGAAAATGACCCAGCGTGTAGAAGCTCCTGAAAATTGAGGGTGGTGCTGAGGGTGTGCCTAGGCCCTTCGCTCTCTCCATTCAGCTATGGCAAAGGAGAAAGTCCCTGAGGAAGGTCAGGGAATAGCATACTCCCTGTTGGGAGAAACCTCACTCTTTAGCCCGAGCATCTCTACTTGCACCATGGTATCAAAACCCAAGCTTGGTACCTTTTAGGGGCAAAGACTGACTTAAGTCAACAGGAACCTTTAAGAAACTACAGCGAGTATTTCATCACCACCACCACCCCCACCCCCATCTTGTTCCCTATAGAGCTGACCCTCAAACAAAAGGGAGTTTAATAACAGTTGTTTAGAAATCATTTGAAATGACCCTGGGCCTTGTCATAAAGTACCTCACACTTGTTGGAAAGAATATCAGATAAAGCCTTATATTCCTACCATTGAGATGTTTATGTCTCTCACATTTAGGCCTATTTTCTTCTAATGGTGGATACTCAGGACAGCAGTACTACTTTAATAGTTCAGGTAAGCACTTTATTTCATTTAATACAGTTTAATTTATTTTAAAAATTACAGTGTTTTCCAAGATAGAGCTGTTTTAACATAATCCTAATTTATATTGTGGTAGAATAGTTCACACATTATTTAATTGTACCTTTAACTTTCATGGACGCTAGATGGGGAGGAATAACCCAGGAAGAATATTTGGGTGGGTTGTAGGGAAAGCCAGTGTAGCAAGTGGTGACTCTGGCATGAAAAAATTTATATGGTTGGTGTGAAGTCTTGCATACATGACAAGATTCACACTAGACTCAGATCTCTTGGTTCTCAGCCTCAGGCTGTACTGTTGGCAGTGTGTTAGAAGTTAGCTTCAGGTATATACTTGTCTGCAATCTAACCCATGTACATATTCAGGAAGGCTCATGGTTACCGTAGCTAAGATGCTAATAGGCCTTCCTCTAATAAATACTGTGTGGCTTAGAGAGGAAGACAGATTTTTCTAGATGTCTGTTGAAATATGTAGAAAGGACTTCTTGTTGACAGCATAACACTTGTTTTGGGATAAGGCCATTACATTCCATCCTGGTGCAGTGTGCTAACTTTTTGTTACTGTAATGAAATACCTAAGGCAGGTGAATTTTATAAAGGAAAGAGGTTTATTTAGCTGACAGTTTTGGAGGTAAAAGAGCATTGCGCTAGCATTAGCTCAGTTCTGTTGACAAGCTTCTTGCTGGCCATGTCCTGAGCCAGCACATGGTGAGAGACAGTGTATATGATTATGTGTGTTGGGTCTCTGTCCTTCTAAAGGCACCAGGATTCAAGCAGGAGGCCTCCAGTGTGATGACCTTATCTAAAACTGATCCCTTTCCAAAGGCTGCACCTCTAAACATCATGATCAGATTAAATTTCTACCCTCTTAATACCGTTAACATATGAGTTTTGGGATTAAATTCCTCCATGAGTTCAGAGGGATAAACCGTATTCAAGACAAAGTAGGCTGCTATACTGTAATATCTTGGATCAGTATCATCAGATATATTCTATGGAGCCACTGGGTGTCTTAATGCAGTGGACCGACTGACTGTGTCTCCCTCCACATTCAGATGTTGAAATCCTAACCTCTAACATGATGGTATTTGGCGATGGGACCTTTGGTAAGAAATGGGTCGTGAGAGTAGAGCTCTCACAGATGGGGTTAGTGCTCATATAAAAGGGACCCCACAAAGCTCGCTAGTCTCCTTTCTGTTCTGTGATGGTACAACATGTTGACAGCCTGCACCCCAGAAGGCACTCCCAGCATGACCATGTTGACACTGTGATCCCTGAACTATGAGACATACATGACTGTTGCTTAAGCCACCAGCCTATGATTATTTGTTAGAGCAGACCAATGGGCTGCTGTGACATACATGCATTATATTCATGTCATTTGAGAACTGTGGCTTAAATTTGGGGTCAGAAGACTACTCTATAAAGAGCCAGATAACTAATGTTTTAGGCTCCAAGGGCTTTACTGGCTGTATGGTTCTGTCAGAACTAGTAAACCTGTCCCTGTAGCGTGAAAGCAGCCATAAACAATTGATAGACAAATAAGCATTACTCTCTTCCAGGAAAATCATATTTATAAAAATAGGTAGTGGGTTGGATGTGGACCATGAATGGCAGCTTTTTGACCATTTGCTTAAATAATATCAGAACAAAAAATTGCTTTATTTCCCGTGATGGTTAAACTTGTCAACCTGATTAGATTCAGAAGCACACGTGAATTTAGTAAAGCACACTTTTGGGTGTGAATGTGAGTGTTGCTAGAGACAGTTGGCATGCGAAACAGCAAACTAAGTGGGGAGACCCACCCTGAATGCAGGCTGCACCAGCAATAGGACGGGGGTCCAAATGGAACAAGTGGGAGGAGGAGGAAGCATGTCACCATGCCCGCCGTGAGGTAAGCAGCTTTCCTCCACCATGCCCTTCCTCCATGATATTCCTGCCTTGTCACCAGCTGACCATGGACTGAAACCTGAAACTGTGAACCAGAGTGGACATTTCCTCCTGTCGGTTGTTTTTCTCAGGAACTTTGTTATAGTGGTGAAAAGCCGACGCACACCTTTTCCCCATGACAGTGTTCTTCGCCATGGACTGGTTAACCCAGCAGCATATTGTGAGTGGTCATGTTGTACAGCGTAGTGGATTGGACGTTGTAGGAGAGATGAAAAGACCAACAGTCCCTATCTGAGAGAGTTTATATGGGGGAGTGGGGGTGTAGGTGCTGCTTTCATTTGAAGCGATGAGTAAACAGAATGTTAATCCAGGTGGGATGGTAAGAATAATGGGATGCTAGCCATTGATGTTAGTAGTTGTGGAGATCTTGCTGTGTTTCGTCCTGTCTCTCGCTTGCAGCTTCCTCACACTGGGAGCTGGCTATGCTGTGCTCTGGAGCCCCCCTTTCCTGCACAGCCGGAACCAATAAAGACAGCCTGAAAAGTGAACAGAAGCCTAGAAAGTGCCTCCAGGCTCATTTCCTTTATTTCCTTTTCCTCGAGACTCAAATTCTTGTATTACCTGTTACACAGTGTCTGAAAATATTTTCGGATATTTCCTTCAGTCTTTTACTTGATCTTGGCTGAAGGGCTAACCCAGAGCCAGTTGTTCCTTCCTGGCAGAAGCAGAAATCTAACCCAGAAAGATTAACACGGAAGGTCAGTGCTCAGCCGGGGAGGGACAAGCGGGTTGCTTTACTGGCGGCCATCCAGAGGAAGTGGAGTGCGGGACTTGATGGATGACAAGAAGTTAAGGAAAGCAGTGGGAGGAAAGGGCTTTTGGTGAGCAGAAGCAGACTCTGGAAAGGCCTGTTAGATTATTCAGAATGTGCTGGACAGACATTAAAGAATTAAATCAGTGGCTTGATAGTGTTGGAATTACAGTCACATTGTGTTTTCTGTGTAGTTCTCAGGCCTCAGACCCTGATTATCAGTCGTGGCTGTGTAGTCTGTGTATTGCCTGAGGGGCTTTTATAACTTACCCATGACTTGAATTTTTCCCAGACCAGTGAAGTCAGAATGAGTGTAGAGACAGGGATTGGCACTGTTTTAAGAAAAGCTCCTCAGGTGGCTCTGTTTGGATTAGGAACAAAATCCACGGCCTTAGGTGACTGGGGTCCCAGGCTTGGGGACCAGAGAAATGAACACTGACTCTGCCCTAAGATGAGCCTCACTTCTGAGGCTTTCACCTCTGCTGATTTGGATGCTTAAAAGTCCCAGAAACTTGGTCTGGATGCAGAGGAATGGTTGTTGGGCAGTGCTGACTCTCTTGTTTCTACCTGTGGGCTCACCTGAAGAGAGAAGGTGTGCTAAGTGCTTAAGGATGGAGCTGATAACTGGTCATTTGAAAGAGCATGTTTGGTTGCTGGATGTAGACCACGCAGTTCAAACCGCCTTAAATATGAAAGGAGCTTTACTGGCCCGTGTGACGAGGAGAGGAAGAGCTGAATTGGCCCCGAGAACCACCATGGTTCCATTTCCTGTTGTGGTTTCTCTCTGTGAGCTTTATGCTCTCCCTGAGGCAGGGGACAAAGCAGGGCACCTGACCCGCTTGAAGTTGCTAGAGGGATAAGGGCTTTTCTTCTGGTTCAGTTTTTTTACATCCCCAAAACAAACAGCAGTGTTCTTCTGGGTGAAAAAAATAGCAAGAACATACTTGTGCACAGACGTGGCTTATGGTTGTGGGTTACCTAGTCCTAACCCTCATAGCTGGGAAACTGGGGTTTAGTAATTTGGCCAAATTCACCCAGGTAGTTAGTGGAAAGGCTAAAGACAAAGGTGGATGCCTCTAGTTCCTAGCTCCCGCTTTTGCTGTGGTACAGGGTTAGGTGATGGGCACTCTGCCAGTCTAACCTTATAAAGCAGGGCAGTTCCATTTACTCTCTTTTCTCTCTTTCCCTTTTATCTTTTTATCTTTTTTTTTCTTTCTGCACTCTATTTGTTAAGAAAAGAGAGAGAAACCTGCCTCTTTCTTCTTTCATATGGAAGAAGCATAGGCCCAGCAGACACACAGGCCAGAAACTCCAGGCAAAAACACCAGCCCGTCTTGCTTTCCTTTCCGCCGCTCTATAAGATTACCATAGTTATATTCCTTCCTCTGAAGTGATTGGATTTCTTCAAAGGCAGAGCTACAGAAGGCCAGGTGGCCTTGTTAATGGTCATCTGGGGGACTTTTCTGAAAGCATATGTATCTCTTACAAGTAATGATTCATTCTTAACATGGCGATCCTTTTAGCTGGGAAAGTCTTTATAGGTCAGAAAACCTCATGAATGTTTAAAAAGCTGTTACCAATTTTTCTAATCTTGGTGGTGTTTCTTGATCTCCTTGGCCATGAAATCCTGGTATGTGTATAAGGAACAGATGGAGTAGTTAATAGAATAATGATAACCAGAGTTTCTTTTCCTACCAAAGTATGTAGCTAAAATAGTTTCCCCATACAATACAGCTACAAAAGAACTTTAAATGAGTATTCATCACAGGATATAATTTAAACTTATTTATCTTCAGTGTTTGATTGTTAGGTTTTCCAAGGAATGTTTATTATAAAGATTTAAAAACATCTGATTGGGCGAGCAGCACAGCTGTAGGAAATTTTTGGTCCTGGGAGACCTGTTCTCATCATAATAGCTATTGATGGGATTTCTGGTCTTGTTGATGATTTATGATTGATGATATACAGCCTTTAATCACACTAGTGTTTTTGACTTAAGGCACCAAAACTTTCTCATTCTTTCTCCCCACATTGTGTCTGACAAGTACCAAATTAGGGTTTATAATATTCAGATGTTTAGAGTCGTTATCTTTATTTAATTAAAGCACTACTAGGGTATTTTCAAGTAAGAAATAACATGAAGAAAAATCTTTTTCTGTATCAAGAAAATGTTATCTAAAATCACTGCAGATGTACCTGCAATTAAAACTTTATAGATATATGTAGCATCTGTATGCATGGGTATCCATGGGCTTTGGGTTATTTGAATTTTGAA